AAAATAAAAAATATTTGTTAGTAAAATTAAAAACTTTTATATATAAGAAAAATCATGTATTTTACTAATTATAATTAATAAAAAATTTAAGTGTTGTATTACTTTTGATGATTACTATATATTTTAATTTAAGAAAATATTATTTGTAAATATTTATAAAAAATTATATAAATATAATAATTATGATAAAATTATTATAATAAAATTAGTAATATTATTATAATAAAACTAATATTATAATATTAATTAAAATAATATTTAGATTATAATAAAAATAATATATATATCATAATAAAATATTATTTATAAAATCTTTAAAATATATAAAAGTAATATATTTTAGCTAATAAAAAAGATAATTTAATTAATAAATTATTTTAAACTTATATTAATTAAAAAATTTTTAAGAAATATTTCTTATAGAATAAATTTTATAAAGATTTATTATTTTATTTTATTAATAAATTATTTATTATATTTTTATAAAAATATATTTTGAAATTAAATTATATTTTAGCTAGTTATATTATGAAAACTCTTATTATTTATTTTTAGATAAAGTTTTTAATGAGTCTTAATAGAATATTGCTTATATACTTATTAATATATTTTAAAAACTCTCTCAATATTATTATTAATAAAATATATAATTATCTTTATTATATATTTTTATTAATTTAAGATAAAAACTCATTTTTAAATTAATTTTACATAAAAAAAATAATATTTTAAAGATTTATTTAAATTTAATATAATTAAAATTTATAATATTAAAATATTATATTTTTTTATTGATATTTTTTTTTAATTATAATAAGATATTAATTATATATTTATCATACTACTTTTATCTATTATTTGAGTTTTATTTATTTTTTCTTAATAAAAAAACAGATATTATATTTTACCTATTAAAAATTTTCTTATTTTTTTTAAATGATTTCTTTTATTTTTTTATGATTTGTAACAGAATATAATTCATTATATCATATTATAAATATTATAATAATTGCAGATAAGTCTTATATAAGTTCTTTAATTTTATTATTATTAATATAAATATCTAAATCAAGAATCACAAGTTATATTTAATTTTTTTCAAAAATATATTTCATAAATTCAAATTCAAAATAATATAAATAATCTTTTTAAATAATTATTATTTTTATTAAAATATACTTATTTCAAAAAAAAATCAAACTCTTATATATTTTTAATTAAATTCTAAACTAATATTATTAATAATTTTATATTCTAAATAATATTATTAAAGATTTGTAATCTGTCATTCAAAATCATCTCATTTGATATTCCAAACTAACTTTGGCATAGCAAACTTTAGTCTTTTGGTCATTTTAAAAACTTTATATATATCTGTATTTAAGTAGAGTTATTTTTCTTCAGATATTTTAATAATAGTAATCTTTCCAGAAGCAGCTCATCATTACAACATTTCAACTGAGACAACATGTTTCTTGAATCTTTTTTGCACTTAGATAGGTAATCTTGCTTGATTCAGATTATATTTTGTTTCTTACTATAATTAAATTTTGCGATATATCCTAATTTTTCATTATCACGTGAACGAAAAATCCCTTGCGTTGTCTATTATATAGATAAAAGATAAAATAATGAGAAGTTTTGTTAAGACTAGGAATTAAAATGCATTATTATCAAGATACTTGAGAATCAAGAACCAAAACAAGAACCAAAAGACTTGTATTTGTGAATCCCAGTTCATTTTTCTGACTCTAGAATTTTTTGTCAATCTGTCAATCACCAATAAGAATTCACTAATTTTTGATCAGCCCAACAAAATAAATCCCGACACAAAACATGAAAAATATGAAAATGCAAATATTACGAGATAAACCTGCTAATTAAAAAATATCGGGATTAGCAACTTTGTGTTGGTCTCAATCTTGACCTTTTAAATCATTGACCGAACACATACTGAAAATTTTAACCGCACGACCAGAACATTTCATGTGATCCGAACATTTTTTCTTTTGTCAAATAGAATATATTTTTAAACTTAGTCGCCTGATGATTAAAACCAATATTACTACATTCTACAAAAATAAAACCAATACACAAACATATCCTTATATTATTGTTGAGGCTCTTATCTTGAGATGATATTTGACGAAAGAATTATATTAGGGATTTTGGATGGGTGAACAAAAAGAAATCGATGTCGTTTACTATTAATTTAAATGGTTTTATTTTTGAAAAAAAGACCAGCTTGATATGAAGAAGATATTATTAAACATTAAATGACAAAATTAATTAATTTACAAGTATGCCTCTTCTTTTTGGTTTAGCGTATAAATTAATAATCCTAATGTATCTGCAATTTACATATACATATACAAATATAAATAAATGGATCTATGCGTGTGTATTTTTGGCCCTCTCGTTTCTTTTTTTACAGTCATTGCACAAAAAGGATGATGTAATTATAAATAAATTATTAAATGATATATTATGGATGGATGGATGGATGGGAAATGTAGATGATTGTGGACGATGATGAAAAATTAATTGGTTGATTGTCTTTTTGAATATTGAAAAACAGAAAAAAAACTTAAAAATGAATTTTTGATTTTGCCATTAAATTTCACATAGATAATTAAAGACCAGCCGGTACGCCAACTGCGCTCAAAGCACCCGATCCATTACTAACATCACTCGCAGTGCGAAAATGTCCACTACCACGTGATCTACCAACACTAATCTCAGACGAAAGCCTACTCCCAGCTGAGCCACTTGTTGTGGACGTATTTGGAGTTGTTGTGGCATTTTCATCTAACTCAACTGGCCAAAGTTGTTTTGGTTCTGTTGATATTAATGTAGTATAATCTGGGGAATCTAATATTTGTGGACGTTTACTTGTAGCTGGCGGCGACAATGTATGCACTCTTGAAGGCGGTGGAGCAGATGACGATGTGATGCCATGAGTGGAAATTGAAGGAGGAATTGAAGGTATAGAATCCTCAGTTGGCGTGGGTGGGAGTGGTGAAGTTGGAGGTGGAAGTGGCGGAGGTGGCACATCATTAAATGATGATGTATTTATTAGACTAAGTCTTTTTAAGGAGGATGAACTAGATACATTTCGAGGTCTGCTATTAAATGAAGAATTAGATGATGATGATGTTAGAGTTGGCGGCGGAGATTTTGCAGATGTCACTTGAGCTATTATTGTAGGTGATTGAACTCGTGGTGGTGGAGTTAATGATGTTGTAGGTGAAACAATGGGTGATTTAACTGGCGGGTGATTAGTATTGATTGTTGATAATGAGGATGGTGCACATTTGAGACTATCAGTAATTGAAGGAGCTATTGAACCTGGAGGAGAAACACGACCAGATGCATTTGTAGGAGGATAAGGTTTCATTGAAAAGTAATCAGAATCACTTGATATTACTGGACTTGATCGACCATTAGTTACTAATCCGGCAAATGCTAATGTGGATCTTCTTTCTCGATTTTGTGGTGATGCTGGTCTTTCGTTTAACCATTCTCCTTTATTTATTTTTTCCATTAACTGGGTATTATCTGCATTATTATTCTTCTCAGAGTTGAAATTGTGATAATTGGGTCCTTCAGCAGTAGCGGCGTAATCATATCGAGCTGAAGGAAGTTTCGCGGAAGGAGGTGGGGTAGGCAAAATTGATATATTATAATTATTATTGATTTTTGATTGTTCAATATCATTAACATTAGTAAGTGAACGTAAACTTGATGTTGTACTTGCTCCCCGTTCACCTGTCGCCATCAAGTTATTGAGATTTCGATTTTCACTCTTTCGTCTCTTAATTCCTCTTAAACTATCAGTATTAGCGCAATTTTCGTTCGTCATTGTCATGCTATTGTTATTGTTATTGTGACCCGTGAAGTAACTTCTACGTCGCATTTTTGTGAAATCGTAATTCAAGAATCTTTCTTCCATCATTCGCATTTCTTTTGATAATTCACTGAGATCTTGGTTTGGGTTCGCACGTTTTTTGGCCTTAAGCGGATTGTCTTCGAGTAAAAGTTCTTCGAGCTCATGGGTTGCATCGAAATTTGCTCTTTTTGACTAATTTAGTTAATCGTAATAAATTATTAGAATTTGTATATTATATTGATGATAAATGTATTGGATAACATGATGATGACTTACATCTGGCACGAATGGAGCTTTTGCTTGTTTTGTATCAAGCCGATCCCATTCAATATCGCTGAACCACGGATGTCTTTTTATATCTTCGATCCCATTAGGTCCACACCCAAGTCTCTTCGAAATATCACGCTCGCAAAACTATATAATTTATTTTCATTAGTGAGCAAGAAGATTATAATGACATGGCAATGATGATGATGGTGATGATAGAATAAATACCCGAGATAGACAATCAATACATTCTTCAGAAACTAAATCCGAAACATTCTCGGGAAATTGAAGAGGTTCATGTAGAATAGCATGCGTGAGTGCAGAATTGGTCTTTCCTCGAAATGGCCGCTAAATGATAAGAAAATTTAAAAGAGGTGGGGTAATTAGTTATCTAGGATTCGTAATAATATAGATACGACATTTCTAGTAATAACTTATTTCAAAGTAAGATTACTAATAAATGATACATTTATTATCTCTTAACAGAAAGCTCTAAACTATTTACCAACATACACATACCTTACTAAAAAGCAATTCATACATCACGACTCCTAATGACCACCAATCAACCGAGTCAAAATAACCCTTTTTTAATAGCACCTCGGGAGCTAGAAATTAAAAATTATCAATTAATATTGAAATTTTTCACTAAAAGGAAAATTCTTTTAATCATTTACCCATATAAGCCATAGATCCAGCAACCGATGTAAGAGGTTTCTTTTCCGTGAAATGAATCGCGATATTAAAATCCGTTAGATGAGCATGCCCTTTTTCATCCAACAATACATTATCAGGTTTGAGGTCACTACAAAGAGATTACCATATAACAATGACTTATTAGCATTAATAATATTAGAGCAAAATAATAAATAAAAAAATTTTATAATTACCGATGCACAATCTTTTTCGAATGTAAATAATGTAACCCCAAACTCACTTCCGCCACATAAAACTTCACCACCTCCTCTTTCATCTGCCCTTGCCGTTCCAAATGAAACCTCAGGTCCCCGCCCAACATCAGGTCCAGCACCATAAACATATTTTCGTCATCTTGAAATGCGTATCGCAGATTACACACTAGCGGGTACTCAATCTCTTCGAGTAGTCGACGTTCTTGAACGATATTTTCTACAGCTCGCATTTTGATGCATTTTGCTTTATTGATGTATTTTAGAGCATATAGTACTTTGGAGTGTTTGTGTTGTACCACACGGACCTGTTGTAATGTAATTTGCGCATCATTAGCATCATTAATGATGGATCAATTTGATAAAATTGCATCAAGAAAATAAATGGTAAATTTTTACCTTGCCAAAAGCACCTTTCCCTACCGATCTTAGTAAATGAAAGTGAGATAATTCGACTATAATAATAAAATGTTAAATATTTAGAATTTGAATTTCCTAGAAAAAACCGCCGTCGTAACAATGATCCAGATATAAATGATATATTGAGAACTAAACTGTTAGTGCAACATTTTTGTTCTGATATTATTATCTTGTAATGGATTCACCATTATTATTCATCGATCTGTCTTACATGTTTATTGTCTTGCGATTATTTTAACATTAGCAATATAAAGTATGAAAATTTCGCTTTTCTTCGCTTTAATACTTTAGAGCTATTGATTAATATTATATTGAAATAATTTCACTTAAAGAAACGCGAGCTATAAGTTTTCGGGTTTTGATTCATCTTTTTGTTAATCTAAATCTCAAAAAAAGGTTGCCATTGCCGTAATTTTCTTGCACACAAAATGAAATTAATTACCCTCAGCATCAAAATCTATTTCTTCTTCTTTACAACAGGCGCCGCCCATTTCAGGTTTATGCGAGGTGTAACAATATTAAGTATATAACGATAAAGGATATATATAGATATAAATAATGACTATATTACAAGAGAAAGAGAATAAGGAATGAAGGAGTAAAGGAACAGGGACGATGAAGATGTGAGAGAATGTAATGTGTAATATTAAAATGTGGTGAGAAACGCTTTTTTTTAAGCGAGACGAGGCGACGAAAAGTGTATATTTTAGTTAGTACGAGAGCATAGTAATAATAGATAGAATTAGGAATAATATATCAATATATCGATATATTTGAACAAAGGATGGAATGGGTACATGTACACATACATGATGCACGATTCCAACCGGCCGGACAATGTATGCATTAAGTATGGTGGATTTAAAGTTTACCAAATCCGGATTGAATCCGTAGTTGTCATCATAAAAATACATAAAATACCCTATAGTCTTTTTTGGGAAATGTAAAAATATCGATATGCAATATGAAAAATATCGTTATGTTCTATAAAAAGATGGTTGCTTCGACATAAACGCATGTCATGATTGTACTGTATGACGTATTATTTTTCACCTGCACAGACCGATAGCTTGAAAATTTCCCTCTTGATCAGTCCAAATAAACTTTTTTTTCTTGCCTTTTTCAACCAATTCAAATTGTTTTCGCTTTAATTATTCATACCTATTCATATAATTTAAACATAATTGAACAAAGCATGACGCCAAATCTACGCAAAAAAGCTGCTCGTGGTGCCAGACGCCAAAGTGCTGCTCCGTCGTTGTTGCTGTCCTCGCTTAGCACCAGCAATACACCAAT